TTCTTTATATAGTTTGGCTATGTTTTTTACTTCTGTTTGTTCCTCATGAGTAGACAGGGGAGGGTGGTCTTGCAAATTATGTATCTCATCCATGAATGGGTCTTCTGGGAAGCCTAGCTGTACTTCCCCCCCTAAAAGTAGGGGTGCAAGAGGTGAAGCCTGAATTGCCGGGCTTGTATTTGCCCATGCTAGAGGGTGATTCCATCCTCCTCTAAGGGCAAGAGGGTTATTTATCAATTGTGGGTTTAATTGTGCATTGCCTATTGCTTGTTGGAAGACAGGACCCATACTGCTTCCCAGAGTTGACACCATTTCATCAATTATGCCTTCTTCAATTGGTCCTTTTGTGTTCTTACTATCTCTCTTTGTGTTTGCTCTTGTCATTGGCATCTTTTCGTGTTACTTTCGATTATTTGTCTTTAAACTCTCTTTTTCAGATAAAATAATATTGCATAAGTCACCTTATTTCTCTCTTTTTATTCCTCAGAAAACTTATTCCCTGTACAAACTATGTATAAAGCTCTCACACTACAAAAAAGCCAAAGAATTGAAAACTGCTATTATTCCAGAGGGGTGAGTGTGCTGTCCACCAGAGGCTACCACAAGATTCTCCGAGGACACTTTGCTACCCCACAGGATTTCTCAGCAGGAGTTCAATGGTATCTGAAAATAAGAAAAAAATGGATCAGTAAAGGTAATCTGACTGTATAAATCACCACAAAAAACCAAGTGTGCAACTGTTCAGCTTTGTTTCAAAGAAATCCTTAAAAGGACTGTTCATGTGCAACTGTCTTGCTGGGCGGGCAAAGACAAGGGTTCATAGGTATCTGTGCATATATAAATTAATCCTTACTAGGACTGAGCATGTGCAACACTAGGTAACCTGTCTTGCTGGGCGGGCAAAAGACTAGATTAAAAACAGTCTTGCTGGTCAGGCAAGGGCAGGTATGCATGGCTTTTTGTTTGGTAAATAAGAGTTTTGCTGGGCGGGCAAAGACTCTATACAGATTCAGGAATGGACAGTCTTGCTGGTCAGGCAAAGACAGGTATGCATGGCTTTTTGTATAGTAAATATAAGTCTTGCTGGGCGGGCAAAGACTAGTATCGAAATCGTATACAATAATCCTTACAAGGACTGATCATGTGCAAATTCAGAGCTTTTGTATGGTAAACTGATGTCTTGCTGGGCGGGCAAAGACAACAGAATAAGTTAATCTAAGGGATGGAGGAGAGAAACAACCATGTAATCCTTAAAATTAACAGTTAACTCAAAGCACTAGCGCTTTCAGCCAGAGGCTTCATCAGGTGCTGTGTAAGAGGTTAACTGAAGTCTTTATTCAAAAAGGTACAATATATACAAGTGAACAAAGACTCCAAAGGAGTCACACGGTAACGGTGTCCGACTTCCGAGGTCCTTCCGGTCATGGCGGGGCGGGGGGAGGGGGGGGGGGCACCTGGGGAAGGGCTCCCACTTCCTATGTCTCTTGCCTGCCTCCTTGAAGCTTCCTCTCGCCGGTGTGTGGTGACTATGCAACAAAAAATGCAAAGTAGAAGTCTCATCTCCTCTTCCTTGAGATAAGAAATTCGTAAAGATGGATCCTGGCAGGAACCCTTTGAAGGGCTACTAATGGTCAGGATGGTTGGGTTAGGTTCCTTACTTGGAGTATCCTGTCTCAACTGCCTGGATCCTGAAAGAAATCCAAAGTTAAAAAATCATAAAGTTTTAGTAGAAGGTGGAGGGGAGCGTCATCTCAAAGGACTGAGGACTCTGTTGGGACTTACTACTTACCATCAAAGAAAACTGAGAAGTTACCAAGATGCCAGAGAAAACCGTAAGGCAGGGGTAACTAACTAAAACAGCAAAATACTTAGACCTTTTTATACCGTTTTTATAAATCCTGGGCGGTCTATCCTTGCTTTGTTGTCAGTATCTATGATGAAAAATAAAGCTAACTCTGAAAACGAATAAAGGAGATCTGAAAGATCTTCTTAGGTAATGTTTTCTGGGTAGCCGATGTTGTATGCGCCGAACTGTTTCGGTAGAATATCGGCCAGGAGTAGAAGCTGTAAATATCTTAACAGAGCTTATAAATTGGTTTTCTAATATTTTGAGATAGTAAAACTAATATCTCTATAAAATAAAAATGAAAATAAAACCAATAAAATAAAGAAATCATGGAAATCTTAAAAATCTCTGAAAAAACTGCATAAGATTTCTGCGCTCTGGGTGAGGGTGGCCATGTTCCCCAGTTCCTTTGCTGCCCTGTGCCTGGGCGGTCACCTCAACTCAGCCTCTCCTGCTCTTTCCTTCTTGGTACTTATTCTGTCTTTTTAATTTTATAAATTTCTTCATTATATAGATTGTATTTAAAGTATTTGTGGAAAAACTCTTGTTTTTATCTCTTAGAACTTAAATATAACCTGTCTCCTCCTGTATTTCACAAGAAAGGAGACAGTCTGTAAAGAGGAAAGGTCCATTTTCCTTTATTTACTTTTTCTTTGAATTCTCTAAGTATTATTTTCTTTTCCCTGTTTCTTTCTTTTCTTTTCTCTTTTAGTGTTCTTAGAACTTAAAATTTATCTGTCTCCTCCTATGTTTCAAATGAAAGGAGACAAACTGTGATGAGGAAAGGTCCATTTTCCTTTATTTACTTTTTCTTTCAGTTTTCTCGGTATTATTTTCTTTCCCTTGTTTCTTTCTATTCTTTTCTCTTCTAGTGCTCCTAGAACTTAAATTTCATCTGTCTCCTCCTGTAATTCACAAGAAATGAGACAATCTGTGATGAGGAGAGGTCCATTTTCCTTTATTTACTTTTTTATTTTTGTTATTTCTGATTCTTTTCTTATCTTTGTGTGTATTTATATTCTAGAGAGCTATCTTAATATATATCTGCTCACATTGCTCTATTATCTTTATATATCTTGCCATGTCCTTTCTTATCTGTGTATTTCTTTGCATGATGCTCTTCTATTTTGCTGTCTATTGTTTTGTTTCTTTACTTTTTATCTATTTCTAGTATCTTTCTCTTATATTTTCTTTCTTGTTTTGCTGATATTTTGGTTATGTTTTAATAGGTCTGGGGAATTGTGCTCTGACTAGAAAGTCAGCTATGGTTTTTCCTTTTCTCCAAGCTATCATGGGATGTGGAGCCGTAAACTTATTTTCCCATGGGGTTCCTTCAGCATTTTCTACTACCCATTCCCATATTTCCTTCAGGGAGTAGTTCAGGACTCCTTCCAAGGATGGAGAATATAGCATAGGGAAAATTAAGCGGTTTTGTTCTGCTCTTATTTTTCTTTCTAAGAGGGTTTCCCTGTTGACCTCTTTTATTCTATTTAATGCAGATCCTAGTGTTCTCTTACAATATCCTCTATTTTTGAAGAAGGTTACCATGTCTTTTAATGCTTTTTCTAGTTTATGTGGCTCACTTACTATCCTTTTGATTCTCAGTGCTTGAGAAAATGGTAAGGATCTTTTGAGGCTTGGGGGATGGCATGATTGGAAGTGCAGATATTGGTGTGTGTTTGAAGGTTTGTGGTACACCGAGGTTTGCACTTTTCCTTCTGCATCCATGTATACCATAGTATCAAGGAAGGGCAACTCCTTTTTACTATATTCCACTGTGAATTTCAAATCTGGGTGTATCCTATTGAGCTCTTGGTGGTATTCCAAGAGTTCTGCCTCTGTGCCAGTGAAGATTCCAAAGATATCATCAATGTATCTATAGAAAACTGCTGGCTGTTTTTCCAGTTTTTGTCTTTTTCCTTCTATACTAGCATGTACAAAGATTTCAGCTATGGCTACTGAGACTGAGGCTCCAATAGCTGTTCCTTTGCCTTGGTTATAGAAGTGGTTGTTGAACCTTAATAGTGTGCCTTGCAAGACATGATCTATTCCTTCTTTTATTAAGTACGGGGGTGGGGCTATCATATTATGTTCTGCTTTTAATCTTTCCTTGACATATGCAAAGTTCTTTTCATAGAAATTTGCCACAATCCAAGATGCTTCCTCCTGTGGGATGGAGGGGTACAGTGACACTATATCAAATGAGAAGATAATAGAGTCTGTAGGAAACCTTGGTAGTGTGGTTATTTTCTTTAGAAAAGCTGTGGTATCTTGCAATCTCTCAGGTAGGAGGTCTAGCAAGGGGGTGAGATAGGTTGTTAGCAATCTATCTACGGGCCTTGTAGGTGCATTACATCCACTTAACACTGGTCTACCTGGCCATAGGCCTGTCTCTGGGTCTTTTTTCTTATGGGTTTTTGGTAGTATATACCAGTGGGGGATTATGGGTTCATGTTCTAGTAATGCATCTCTTTGACCTGCCAGGAAACTTCTTCTGTTTCCTCCATTTTTTCCTGAGGTATCTAAGGTGTAAAAGCGGTTTACTAGGATCTTGCTTTCTCTTTTTACTGCCTGTAGGGCTTCCTCTGGGTTCTCTAGAGGGATGTATGTTTCAGTATCTGATAAATGTGCTTCACCCATTGTTATGTAACTTTCTTTCTTTAGAACCACTAGAGCTCCATCTTTATCTGCTTTTTTAATGACTAGGTCTGGGTTTTTAGCCAGATCTTTAAGAGCCTCTCTTTCTCTTTTAGTCATGTTTGAATGGCAGCCATTTAAGATCTTTTCTCCTACATCCATGGTTTCACAATGGATCATTGTTTCCAACCCTGGGAGTTTTTTAGTAGGAATGCTCTCTCTCTGTTTCATCGGGAGTTGTTTGGGCAAATTTCTCCTCTTTTTATTGAATGTTCCTTCAATTTCTTGTCCTGGTAGGAGGGAATCTGTAAATCTTTTGTTTATTTGTTCTTTCAATCTATTCATTGAATTCCCTAGGTTTTCCAGGAGAGCTTTCTTTGGAGGAGGGCCTGGTACAAAGGATCTTCCCTTACTGAGAACAGAGAGTTGGGTTCTGGTCATGGGCACTTCAGATACAATTAGTTCCATCCCCATCTGCCGTACCCTCCTTCTTGCCACTGCCTTCCTCCTGCTTGCCCTTGAGCCCAGTGGTAGTTTCCTCTTTGAGGAAATCTTCCCTGTCTCTGAGGAGGCCTCCATGGCTGTGGGTGGCTTATCCAGTGGGGGTTTTGGTCTGTATATCTCAGGTGCGGGTGGCTCCTGTGGGGATATACTCTTTCTTGCCTCCACTCTTGTTCCTGTGGGGCTTTCCTCCACATTTGTGGGTGGTTTTGTTTGTGAACTGGCCTTCTTTTCTGGTATGGGCCTTGGTGTTCTCTTTGCCCTTTGGGGTAGGGGGCCCTGTATGAGGTTAGGGGGGTTTTCCTCATCTGGGTGGGTCCTCGTGTGGGAGGGAACTGCCTCGTATTTCTTTGTATTGTGTGGTTCTGGGTAGCTTTTCCACTTTTTTGAGGCTGTTTGTGGTTCTGTGGTATTGTATTTTGTTCCTTTTTCTGTTTCTTTCCGTTTTTTGATTGTGTTTTCTTGTTTTTCCTCTGTATTTCCTCTGTTTTCCTTTTAGCATATTTTTTGAGAGACATCCATGTTTCTGGGTTTTTCTTTGCTTTTTCTTTTCGGATTTGTGGTGTCTCTTTTTCCTCTACACTTTGATTTTCTTCTTGGTTATTCTTTTCTGTTTCATTTACTGTATCTTTGTCTTTTGGTATCTCTATGATTTTTTCATTTAGGTTGGAAATGACCTTTTCAAGCTGGCCTATGGCTCCGACTACTTTTTCCAAGAGCATATTGCATGCTTCTTCCCTTTCTTTGAGTCCTGAGGGGCAAGGTGGGGAAGATGGAGTAGGCAGGAATAGTTCCAGTGTGCCAGGGCTCCTTATGGAGTTATTTATTGGTGAGGGGATTTGTGTGTCATCCTCCTCCCTTTGGGGTAGATCTATCTGAGGCTCTGCCTCCTCCGAGGCCTCATTATTTCCTTCTGTTTTACTGCTAGAAGGTGGAGATTGAAGGGCCACTTCTTGGTTTTGTTCATTTTCTCTGTCTCTCTGCTCTTCATTCTCATTATTCATTTCATTATTTACTTCATTTTCGTTATTTCTCTCATTTTCATTGTTTATTTCATCATTATTTATCTCATCTTCACTGTCATTTCCATCCTCTATATTGTCTTCCATTAGGGGTTCGGGTTCATCTGGGTGAGAGTTTATGCCTATATCTCTCATGCATTTTAGAACCATGTCTCTTTCCTCTCCTGTCATTTCCATATTAGTTTGATCATTCATATACTGTATGAGGGGGGTCCCTTCTTGTAGTAAGTAAAACCTACTAGTGGGGGGTTGCAATTTGTCAATTTTCTTAGCGGCAAGTTTGCCTCTGGTATGTGCATCATGGCAAATCCTTCTGTGTGAGTGAGGGTATTTGTTTTTTAGCCTGTTCTTTTCTTTTATTATTCTTCTCCTCACTTCCACTGTGTTAGCCCTGATTGCTGCTGCCATTAGGCCTTGCCATCTCCTTGCAGCCCCTTGCAAGATCAGTTCTCCCATTTCTATTAC